CAGCGGCGACGGGCTTCTTCGTTCCCCGTATTAGCATGCCGAGAGGCTTGCGTGTACGTAAAAACGTACCTGCGTGATGTCTCTTTCTTTTTCATTTGCGCGCCTATTGCCGAGTGCCGACTTTTTGCCGCCTCTTCTCTCTCACTCTCTCTCTCTCTCTCTCTCTCTCACTCTCTCTCTCTCTCTCGTCCCAATTTTTTTGTTGCAAACAGTGTCCCTGCAAAATCAAGGCGATTATTCGAGGATTAATTTGGCGATGATACTGCCGAGCACTTTGATCTCGCGCAATACCTTTGTTTTAATGCGTCCGTTATGCACTTGGGTAAATGCTCGAAATAAAGCGCAAAATCTCGCTGCAAGTGAGATGTTTGATGCCAATGTTTTTTTATATATATATATTTTTTTTTTTTTTTTTTTTTTTTTTCCCCTCGATCAACGCGCATCGAGTCACTACATTTTTATTTAGACGCTGTTACGACGGCTTAATTATAACTCAAAAAGCTACTCCACGAGGGTTAATTCGGTGATTCAGTGCATCATCGCTTTCTTATTTCAAATATCGCCACTGGGGACTTTCGAATTAATAAGAAAAATTGTTTAAGCAACGCGTTGGCGAGTAATTCATACGCTACGTAATGAATAAGTCGAAGAAACATTCAAAGGTATAAAGAAAGTAGGGATGTAGATTTGCGAATTTCACCGTCGGCTCAATACTTTGGTGGTAAGACTTTAAATGCAACTTGGTGGCTTTGATGTAGAGGTGTGCCCATATTATCGTCCATCCTAGTTTCATTACCATCGAACTGAAACTTATTTTTCATGGACGTCACCGCTTGCGAACTAAGATACGTCGAGATGATCGAGCGTAAAAACTTGAGGGAGTATTCTGAGTAATTTTAATCGATCGTTGTAATCATGTTTTATGAATTTTATGAATAGAAAGGAATTTAAATACGGACCATTCGGAAAATCATACGGCGGCTTATCGATCGTTTTCATCGGTCGACATTATTCGCGACGTTTGTACTCTACGGCGATGCTCGAATGCAAATGATTCCGTAACGATTCCCCCCAACGCACGTGCGACTATTGATAGTAGAAATGGACAGGACCCATTGGGCCCTGACGTCTTTGCAACCTCGATAATCGGCACTTGAATAAGAGACGATTAGCGCTATGTCGCGCCAATGTCTACGATATAACGCAAGATACGCTCGACAATTCGGCAAAGTCGGCCCCGGCTTAATAACGACCAAGTTGCAAATCTGGCCTCGGTACGCGTCAATCTCGAGGCGCGTGCGAGGCGGCGGCCCGAGGCTCTCTTACCATTAAATATAACGCAGTAACGGAAAGGCCGCGACACTAACCTTCGCCACGAAAATCAAATCAAACTATTTTCCACGCCGAATGCGGAACAGACAGGCGACACGAAGCGTCTCGAGCCCCTCGCTCGCACTCGTACTACTACTTCTCGTCGCTACGGCACTGAAAGCGCAACATACAGACGTTTGACGTTTCACGAAGGTCGCGCACGGGCGCCTCCTCTCTCTCTCTTTATGTATCTCCGTTGCAGGCGCTCGAGTACGGCGCGCGCGCGACTCTTACGCACATACGCACGTACGTATTTAATGGTTGTTAGGCGTCAAATCGCGGAAAGCGCGGATCCTGGCACGAGTGCGACTCGTCGTAGTAGCTCGGCTGTTAGAAAACGATCGCCGCTCGCGACGTCAGAGAGCCGGAAAACAATTATTTCGCATTCTTCACGCGGCCGTAATATAGCACTTGGCTTCTCTTGCCTTTGTGTGTTTTTTTCATCCTTTTGTTGTTTTTTGCCATTGGTTTTTTTTTTTCTTTTTTTTCTTTTTTTTTTTTTTTTTTCTTGGGCACTATTTTTATTTCTCTTTTCCTCCTCTTTACCTCGAGTGTGAGATGCGTGTTTTCGATCTTTAGGCGCTGCTTTTATCGTTGTATTTATACATTGCACTGCGAAATTGAGATATGCCGCATTGTGAAGTACTCGGAGAGAAATAAAAATACGTAATCGAGGCTACTAATCGATGGTGCAACTTTAAATCTTTATATTTATCTTCTTAACGTGTACTTATTACAGAGAAATATAATATTCAACGAAATCACCGAGCGCAATTATTGAGCTTTTAAATTTATCAATGCTAGTGGAACGTGAGAATGATACAAGTATACGAGAAATTTTTCCTTTTTTATGAGATATACATAAGAAAATTCTTTCTTGCAAATAAGAATGGGAAAGCTTTTTACATTATAATTTTTTCTTTATTTTTTCTTTACTATCTATAGAGAATCTCTCTGTCTTGATCTCACTCTCTCGCTATATATATATATATATATTTTTTTTTTTTTGTATTACCAACTGACTCCTTATATATATATATATATATATATATATATATTACTGATTGTTGCTTATTGTATATCGATAGTACAAGAATGACAATGTTCGCTTATTACATCAACTTCAACAAAAATCTTCGCTAATACAAACATTCTTTTAAATCTACCCTATTTATACCTACTTCAATCCTCATTTCAATTTACACTTCCACACATATACACATACTTTAGCATCTTATTAAATCTTATTAAAATCCATTATACTAGTATTTGGTATAATATTGAGAGACGAACTAAGTAAGTTTTTAAATATTGATAGAAACGCTATATCCTCTATGTCCTTGAAAAATTGATTAAATTACCCAATTCCTATTATTCACGACACTTATATTGCGAAAATAGTAATTTTTCAATTCTATTTGTTTATCTACTGCAATTTTTAGAAATGTACATCTTTCATCGAACAGGACCTTTGGAAATATCGTTGCTCTATAAATTCAATTAACCACTCAAACTATGCAATTTAGTGACATCAGAAACTTCAATAAGTCAGTCGTGAAATAATAATAAATTCTTTAACTGTACAATATTTTCCAAAAACCTTTATTCGTATTCTTTATTATCAGATCGTTATATTGAAATTCATTCGTTATTCTAAATATTTTAGTGAGGCTTTTTAAAATTATATTCGAATGCTTATTTTTCATCTCGCTTTTGACTTCATACCTTCTAAAAAAAATTAAAATTTAAAAAAAAAATTTTAAAAAAAAGTTTAATTCTAATTCCGATTTTTCCCATTCGCTGAAAATGAAATGCTCTAAACAAATATGTCAATATACATTTATACATAAAATTTCTTTACAGTGTTCCATAAATCTTATGGCGTATTAATATTCCAATATTAAAATTGAAGATGCTAGGCGATAGGCACGTCATCTGGTTTTAATCCATCATATATCAATCTACGGTAATATACCGTAACTATCATTAAATAAATTTCATT